ATTTAAAACAATGGTGTGTGATTGCCATATATACTTTGTAGTTGTAGTTGTGGTTGAAAAGGTTTAATTGTTTTTAGCATACTAGACTTGTAGAATATATGTGTTTTTCATTGCAAATGCAGGTAAAAAAAATTGGTTTTGATCATATGTATGGGAAAACTCTGTCAAAATTTTTTTAGAATTTATACCAACTAAAATGACCAAATTACAAAAAATCTATTGAATAAATTTGGAATTATTGCATTTTTTATCACAAAGTTATAGTATTGCAAATGCAGATTTAAAGAAAAAATACCTTTTATCATATATACGGGAGAATTTTGATAATTTTTTTAAAATTTTATGTCCATTAACATGTAAGAAATCTATTACAAAAATTCAACAAATGGCATGAAAACGAAATCTGGAAAGTAACTTAGCCAAAATGGACGAAATTTGGAGAGGAAGCTGGGAAATGGATACCGGCCATACTAGGAACGTACTCCTAGTCGGTGAATTGATTTTCCAACCTGTATCTTGTCGGTAAAGACACCAAAATCATGTCGATGGGAGGCTGGTCGGTAATTTGGGCGCGAGTTGCAAAAAATTTCGTTCCCACCCTCGGTCACCTGCCTATGTGATTTTTGTCGGTGAAGAAAACACCGACTAACTACACATGGGTAAGTTCCCATATATATACCCCCCAACACTATACCCGGCTTATTGCTTCTTGTCTTCCTTCTTATATTCTTCCTCTTCTTATTCTGCTTCTTCTTCTTCTTCTTCTTCTTCTTCTTCTAGCTCCTTCGACTATTGCCTCTTCTTTTTCTTCCATTCAATGTTGCTGGATTAACTGTTTATATATGTTTATAATTACATTATTGATATAATTTTAGGTTGATATTTTCAATCTCCTCCTTTTTAATTTTTTCTTTCATTATTTCTCCCTATTTGATTAAATATTAATTTATGTTATGTTATTTGTTTTCCAGGAAACATTAGGGAGATAATCAATGAAGTAAGTAAATTTTCTTTGTGTAAATTTTATTTATATAAGCCATTAGAGATATTAGGGTTGAAATTAATTATAGATAAATACTAACTTAATTTATGTTTT